GTCGTCGATTTATCAAGCTTGCGCAAGGTAATTGTTTCTAAAATCCCTTGAACATGTAAAATTATTTCGTTTGGAGAGGGAAATATAAGGTTGAATATTTTCGATATTTTGTACGGGACTGTAGATTCGGGTTCGATTCTATAAATGGAACCACGTATACGCGTTATTTCGGGTGTAAATAAAGTGCAAGTTTCGATTAGCCATTTATCACACATGCTCCGCGATAATGTTACGCTGTTGTAGGTCGAGTGATCATAAGTGCACTTTATTCGCTCCTATTAAACGAGCCTTAGGTTTGCACGGTGATGTGGTTGCAGTATAAATACCGGGTTCTATTAAAGAATTCGAACCTTGACATTCTATCTTCCTCGCCAAATGAAACAACTTTATATGTCCGACCTTTCAGAAACAATTACGTATGTGTACTTAAATTTAATGTTCCGTATATCCTACTCGTTGCCGTCTAATTTATACATAACTCGAGTGATCGAGACATCTGTATGTCCACTTTCTAATCGTTTAACGTCTCTTTTTTTTTTCTGTGTGATGATATAACGAAACTTAACGGAAATTAATAATATGTTGAGGATAATTTATTGACATAGAGAGCATAGCAATCGTTATGTTTGTAGATTCGTTCGCTCAGTTTCGTAATGTAGAATATTACTTGCGACGTAGAGACGCTTGCAGAGTGATCGGTGTACTGTAACAACGTTGTTCAGTCCACGCCGGCGAGGGTTCACCAAGAGGAAACGTCGTTGTAGGATACTGCGATGTATCAATTCAGAGAATTTATTTATAATAAAAATTCAGAAGAATGCAAACATCCTCGTGTTCACCTCCCAATACATCCTCGGATTCTCGTCCGTGTGTGTTAATATTATTCCAGTCGGCGATAAAATACGAGGGTGGGGATTTACAACGTAAGCGGAAATAATAAAACGAAAGTCGAGATTCGTTCAACAACAGAGTCTAATTTAATAACAAAATATGAACGCTGCATTTGTAATAAAATTAATCGTAATTCTAATCGTTAAAATCATAACGATGACAGCGACGACGATGATAACGATGATAATAATAAAAGTAATAATAATAATAATAATAATGTTGCGAAGGTTGCTTTGTGGCACTGAGCCCATTTTTCGATTATTCAAGGGGTGCGTTCGATATACCGCGTACACGATTAAGGTAGTAAATGAAGGTACTGATAACAATAATAATAGTAATAATAATAACGGTAATAAAATAATAATAATAGCGGCGTACACAGTAGGTCGAATAACCGTATTTAACATATATAACGAATCCTAATATCGAAGAGAATGAAGCGTACGAGAAAAATCGCATTACATATTACGATATCGAACGAATCGATAGTTCCGCGAGAAAAGAAATTTATCGTCGAGTGAA